ATTTTTATTTTATTTATAATTATTTATATGATTATATTTATTTTATTTTACTTGATTTGTTATCATGTTTGCTAATATTTTTATCTTGTTTAATTATTTGTTTTGTCTTATATATTCATTTATTATATTTACTTTTATTTATATTTATTGTAATTTCACTAATTACACTCAGCGGTTTTATGAAGGGTGAGGAACATCACCAGAATTACACAAAACAGAAGTTTGATTATGGGAAGAATGAGTGGAATGAATAAGAAGAAAACTATAAAACAAAGATGTAGAGATTAGAAGACAGAAGTGCCAGACAATAAGAAAAACAATAATGCCAGGGACAGTAGGCGAGATGGAGATGTTGGGGGAAAGAATCTTAAGGGACTCTCTAAGAGGAGATAAAAGAAGTCTTTTTGAAATTATGAAGCTCCTCCCTTTCCAAGTTTTCAAAAAGCAAATATAATCAACTAAAACAATGTTATTTGCCTGAGATCAGATGCACCAAAATCTGACTCTGGACCTTACTCTGACCTTGTGATCAGGCTTCTGAGTCTTAAAACAAATAGACAACTATGCCAGTTGTACAGATTTTTATAACCCTATTAATAAAATATCAATATGAAATTTTTTTCTGTGCCTTAAATATAATCCTTTGGACAGTGAATTCCCATGAGCTTCTGAAAGCTCAAATACTCCACATCATCGAGGTACTTTTCAAAGATGTGAAAGGAGAAAACAAATTTGATACCAGGGTAAGAACTTTGTGCCAGGTTCTCTAAAACCTGACCATGGCAATGGCAGGACTGAGACCATTTGAAAGATATCTTGCTGACAAGAATCATGAAAATGCCTTTTATTCATAGATTTCCCTCACATATCCAAGCTCACTGAAAGCAGAGGCTTTCATTCAACAACACACACTGATGGGCTTCTACTGTGTGCAAAGCCGTCCACCCTGCCCTGCAGATGAAAGGTAAGGAAGACACAGTCTCTGATCACAAACACAGTCTATCAGAATCCACTGACACAAAAGCAATCAAGTGAAAGGCAAAGTTAGATATCCTTCTAAGACGGTGCTTCTTGAATATTAAGGTGCATAAGGATGATCTGGTGATCTTGGTAAAATGGAGATTCTGATTTACTAGAGTCAAGACAAGACTCAAGATTCGGCATTTCTAGGCACCCCCGGAGGCTGCTGCTGCTGAGCCACAAACCACAGACTGAAAGCAACAGTCTAAGTGATAAGATGCAAGCCAAGGGTTATGGAAATGCTAACTTAGAAGTGACTCCTTGTAGGTGATAGGTTCAGATAGGTTCCACAGAGAAGATTCTGCTTGTCAACAGGCAGAGATGCACACATAACAGATGTGTGTGTCTGTGCAGGTAGGTAAAGAGCAGAAGGACCACACAGAGGAGAGGGGGGAGTATAGAGGAGAGGAGGCAAGGAAAGAGGAGAAAGAACTGAAAAAAGAGAAAGTAACTTGAGCAGACCTCTGAAAGCAGAAAATTGCATAAGCTCTTTAGAGAAAAGCAAGGTATCTGGTAAGACTAGAATGTAATTTGCAAAGGGGGTGACAAGAACTTATGAGAAATAGGTCTGTAATGATCAGCAAGGAAGAAATGATGGGGATCATATGGATTTGACTCTTTTTTGGGGAGAGGACAGGACGTCTCATCACTAACAAGGGAAGCAAAGTCTGGCTGTTAAAATAAATGAAGCAGAAAAAAACATCCTGGAATGTAGTCGGGTCTAAAGTTATTCATATTCCACATTTGGACATTTTATCTAAGTACCCAAAGTCATTATTGTTCTTCAATATAATTGCCTTTCTGCCAATCATAGCCCATCCTCAGCCAAATAACCTATCTTCAAACAAGACTATGTAGGACTGAAACCAAATACGGTTTGTCCTGAGCTTTCACAGTGTCTGCCATTGGCAACCCAAAACTCAAGCAGGATCAGAAAACATTTGTATTGATTCTCAAAACCAGATAATATCCACAAACATTTCATAATGTAATATCCTGGAAAAGGAAGCTATATGAGGCTTATACTGGGTACTATATAAGGCTGATGAATCACTGAACTCTACCTCTGAAACTAAGAATACACTATATGTTAATAAATTGAGTTTAAATTAAAAAAAAAAAAAAGAGTATATAGGGTTTGCACAGCGGCCAACATGGAAAGGCATAGCATAGTCAATGCATGGTGGCACAGGCTGGGGGAGCTCACAGAATGCCTAGGACGTTCAAGTAAGCTGCCAAACTCCTAATGGACAAGTTCACTGCCTCCTCTGCCAACATTATTAATAATAATAAAATGAAAAGAAAAGGTATCTAAGGTACCTAAGGTAAAGGTGTCTAATAAACCCTCTATCAGTATTTGTTTCTGTGTCTGTCCAAATCAGTAGAATCTGTAAATGTCATTAATGGCTCTTTAGGATAGGATATGAGCCTCACTTAGCAAGAGACGCCATGTCGACTCCCTAATTTAGTCTGGAAGTAGTCAAAAACATAAAAACATTAAGAATCACCCATAGATACATAAATGAACAGGGATGTGATAAAGCAAGTATTAAATAATATTAACAGTAGAATCAAGGTATTGGTTATATGGGTGCTCACTGTAACAGATTTTCAACTCTGCTGCATGCTTTTAAATTTACATAATAAAAGGTTAGAGGAAAATTACCAATAATCCTATTATCAATCCTATTATCCCCCTTATAAAAATTATAGTAGGTAGGAAGTAAAAACATTATGTCCCCCTCTCAGCTCTTTTCAGCATTCCTTAATCCCACTTGCGACATAATCACATATAACTGCTAGTTTTAGATCTTTACATTCTTTGCATATAATTTTTTCCTTATTTTTCTTTTTACAAAAATTGAATCACGTATGGATCTACAAATTGCTTTCTTTTTTTTAACAATATATCATTCACATGTATCCAGATCAGTTCATATAATTATATTTCACTCCTTTTAATGGCTAAATACAATTCCATTACCCAGCTATCCCACAGTGTATTTAACCATTTCCCTACTGATGGCATTTTGACTATTTTCAGAAATTTGCTTTTTTTCACACCACATTTAGGCTTCTGGTGATTTTAGTATAAATAGAAAAAAATCCATAGGTCCCAGGCATCTACCCAGGAGACCACAGTAAAAATCCGAAGTGCTTCTAGTGGCTAGGAAGCATAACAGCTAAAAAGGGACGAAAGCAAAATACACAGAATCAAAGGCATATGGTTATACCTCAACAGTGTGTAACTCAGTTAGTAGGCAGTGTCAGTTATCAAGCAAATAACCAGTAGCTAACAACTAGGCAAACTAGTGCCCTAAATATTCACTGGAATGAGTTCTGCACCAACTTAAAAAAATCAACCAACTTCACTTCGAGTACTCTCAGATCCTCATTCAAGTAACTTCCTTATACGAGTCCTTATGCCAAAGCACAGAAGAAACGCAAATTTGGATGGAAGGCAAAAGGCTTTTATAAGTAGGCATGTTGATGGCAGTGAGAAAGTTGAGCTATTTAAAGAAAACTAAAAAAACAAACAAAACAATAATAACCAGTGATATGGAGTCTGGGGCCATTTAGTGGTAGAGTCTTACATATTTCAACAGGCCCTGAGGACATCATTATGCACAGTATAAAATAACTGATGTTCAAAATCATGGCCCTGAATTATTAATTAAAGGTATAATTTCTCAGGATACTTGCTGTAAGACAGCTGCGAGGTATGGAATACACTTTAGGAAGACATGCTATTAAAACAGTTACAACAAGATCCTTGATCATAGAAGACTTGGGGAAGGCCTTGAGCCAACCGCCTCAGTTGACAGATGGAAAAACAAAAGCACAAAGATAACACGATTGATCCAAGGTCTGTTGGTTGTTGGAAATAATCAGAGCTGTGATCCAGGAGAGGTGAATCTTCTGCCACTGTGTTTGTGGCTACCCCACGAATACAAAATTGTCAGTGAGGAACTGCAGCCTTTATTCTTCGTAATGCTCTACAACCCAGAAAGTAGCTATCATGGAGTCTTTTCAGACAGCTGTTTTACCTTCAAGCAATCCTGTGATGAGAGATGTGAAAGTAAGTGATCCTGCTGGAGGACAGAGAGTGAGTGATAAGGCACAGTTTTCCTTGGAGAAGTAGACGTTCTAAACCCAGGGGAAAGCAAAGCAGTGTTCACTGGCAAGGAAGAGGGTTGCACAAAAGGGAACTTACGTCCAGCACATTTAGCATGGGAAAAACAAGTCCCATGGGCGTGTGTGTGCGTATCTCCTTGCTACCATGTATTCCTGGTCACCAAAGTATTGTTGAGGATCATTCAACTTTGAGAATCTAGTCTCATTCTCTCTCTAAATATTCATCATTGCTAAATAAACCAAATAGGCAATGTATTTGAAAGAGAATTGCCCAAGGAGGCAGGAGACGTCCATTCACAGCCCTGTGTAACTCTGTACAGGGGCCTTGGGGTTGTTACGGGTAAAGTGAGTGAACTGAATCTGAAGATCTCAAAGTTTCCTCAGGGCTGTGACTCATGCTTCTGGTCAGGTCTCAGCAAATAGAAATGAGACAAATAGGGGAAATCTGAATACCATGTAGTATGCAATAAAGGTTCACATATTTGCAACAAAGGCTTGTTGCAACAAAGGCTTTCTGAGCCCTATTTAAAAGAGAGGACTTCTTTCCCTAAGGCCTATGCTTCCCTGGGTTGTTTTTTAATTCTCTCCCTCTTTTTCTATCTTCTTATCAAGATGACCTCTAGAAAATCAGAAAGGGTTTTGGAAGTCAAATAATGTTATTTGGCCACTATTTAGGAAACAGGGGCCCAGGAAGGATCGGTGACTTTTATGAGGTCAAGAGCTTGCTTGTGAAAATGTGGGATTGCTTTTGATTCCCAGTTCAGACTTTCCTCTGATAAAGCCATGCTGCCTCCCAATTCTGAAAAACTACTAGGAAATATAACTGTCCCCTAGAAATAACGCACCATTTGTATCCCAGGGAAGAGTCATGTCTAAACAGGCAACGGTCCTGTGTCAAAGGAAGACGGCGACTCGGGCCCAGGAGCAACGAGTCGGCTGCTAGCGAAGCTAAAGCCGCTGTTCTCTTCCCACGACTCTGTGAAGATTTATGGTGTTCATGGGGAATCTTGGCCAAACTACCTCCAGGCAGTGTTGGACCAGATCCCTAGAGGAGTCCTCGCCGCTATGATGTTTTTAACATGTTTATCTGCTGGGGACGAGACAGCTGTGAGTTCCTGAAGCTTCCCTGTAAGGAATAACACTTCATAGTTTGAGATATCCACACATGAAAGATTTGAGCAAAACATACTTAGCTATAACATTTCACTTAAAAAAAAAAGTTGACCTAGGTTGGAGATTGGTAAAGTCTTTGTAAATCCTGTGGGGAAAGATCACTGGATTTAGTGGAAAAGCATGGTCTATTCTTACACACAGCACTGGTCAGTATGACCTACTGTTAGTTTTGCCTCTTTTTATTCTTTTAAATTAAAGCTGTTCCTCAACTTCTGGACACTCTATCATTGTACCACTCCTTGCTTCAAGAACTGAGGCAGTGTTTCAGTTCTGACATTAAATCAAAGGATTATCATTTTTGCACAGCCCCGCTTTCAGATTAGTAGTAAGCCAATTAGAAAAGAAAAAGAGAAAACAGAAAGAAAATCGGGGGGGGGGGGGAAGGGTGGGGGGAAGGGAGCTTTGCACTCCTGACATCCTGGCCTGCAAGCCGCTCTCCCCTGAAAGGGCAAGAAGAAACTGCTCTCAAAGACACTTCCGCATATGCCGCCAGCTGCAGAGGGGCTCTTTCTCAGGGGATGCTTGTCAGGCCTGACTAGGACTTGTTTCAGGGTGTGTCTCCATTCCTCCAAGAGGCCAGCCCTGGGCAAGACTGCATTCATTCGTAATCTAAAAAAATTAAAACATCCCGAGCTGGCCGCCAGCGGGAGGTTTTCCTACGCGGATGTGCACCTCCCACGTGCTCCAGTCACAGACACCACTGGGCTGGTGAGAGGCCCCGACGGATCGGTGCCAGGCCCAGACACAAGTCCTCCATTCTGACCCGGAGTGCTGCCAAGCGGGAAAGAACCACATCCTTCCTCATCCTAAGGCCCCTTCTTAAATCGAGCAGTTGTTCGAAGGGGAAAGCACAGGGGGGAGGGAGGAGGCGACATCACTAGTTGGTGTTAATTATAACAAGGGGAAACCTTTATTCCCAATATGAAGTTTCTAAGTGAATTCAACACAGAAGCTCAAGGCCGGAAAGGCCCTTAAATATCATTTTGATTCAAACATTTTCCAAAATTCAAATATCCCTGTAACATCCTTGCCAAGTGGATGTGTAGTCCCTCTTTAAATAACTCTAAGGACGGTGAACTCATTACCAAGATAGTTTTCATAGGGCCTGAACTGTAATAAGTGTCTCCTTATGTTGAGCTGGACCCCGATGCCCTGGAATTTGTACTTACTTGTCCTGGTTGAGGTCTCTGGTGCCAAATCAGAAGCCTTCTCTCTTCCAAAGATACCCGAGGGCATTCAACCCAGGGGTTCTGGTATTTGAAATCAGCATTGCCTTATCTCCATAGACCTCACTTTCCAAAATGGGAGCCTAGGGCTTTTGCAAAGCTCCTGTTCCCTTCCTTGCTTCTCTGAACCTCAAAAGCAAGAAAAGGATACTGAGAAAATGAAAAGATCATTAAAACTGGAAGAACTGGTGTCGATTGATTAAGGCACTTCTTATACTATTTAGGCATAAAAGGAAATTGAAAATGGAGCTGAGGAAGCAAAATGACCAGGGGGTTAGCTCATCCAAGCAGGGTTTCTAGGGAATTGTCAGACTGATCAGTGTAGTAACTCAACATCTGTCACAGATGCCCATCTAGCCGTAGGCAAACTGGAAGAGGCCACGGGACAGAGGGCACGCCTCAGCACAGTGAAGCAAAGTGAAAAGTTTCAGCATGGGCTGCGGACTCACCACAGACCAGACTTGGATCCTCTGGAGCTGTGTAAGCTTCTGAACCACACAGACTCTCCGTTGCCTTATTGGTGGATGGGTCCGTAAAGCATCTCACTGAATCAGGTATGAGGATTATGTGAGAGAAAATTATAAAACACTTGGCACACAGTAAACACTCAGATTTCTCAGCTATTATTCTTTATTATTATTACCAGAAGTCTAGCCTTCAATTCTCCGGAACTTTTCCCTACATAGCGTAGCAATGCAGGAAGCAGAAAACCCATATATCTGGGAGGGTGAAATGAGGTCAGTCCTCACGTGGGAGAACAAAAGCAGGAGAAGCAGCACATTACAGTGGAAAGTACACTGTTCCAGAACTTAGAAGACCAATTACCAGAGTTGTGGCTAACTCTAAACAAGACACATCCCTTTCTGTTGTATTGGCAGAGCCAGGGGCTTAGCCTTTTGACCTTAACTTTCTAGTATTCTCAGAGAAGAATTACAAGTTCTCTGTGTAAAGACAGCTAGGAAAGCTTGATTTCTATATGCCTCCTTCTCCTCCCCTGAACCATGTCTCTATATCAGTAACTGCAAAAATCCTACACACCCCAAAGCACAGAACCTGAAGTTGTCACCCCAATTTGATATGCCTTAAGGATCCCTGTAAGAGAACAAAACTCTTCAGGGGTGCACTGAATAGAGGTTATAGGTTTTGAATTCACTTGCTGTTGGCCGCTGCAATCTCAGCAAATAGAGCAGTAGGTGTGTGTGTTCTAAATAAATCAAGACAAATGAATGAGTTCTGCTGTGTTTCAACAAGTAGGAAGCCAGGAGATATGTTTTATAAACATTTGGGAGTATATGCTTGGAAATGCTCATAGGAAAGACTTACAGAAGGACCTAATTCAAAGATATGTAGGTCTCCTGGGGGTGTCAAGGTAGCTGTTCAGGTATGCTTTGGTAAAGAAGTCCTTCTTTACCCTGTGTTTGGTGTTCTGTGCTTTGGTGGAAAGAAGTAAAAATCCTGCAAGGGGGTGAGGAATCAGACAGCTGGAACTGTAACACTGGGGTTACAAAGAGCCTGCACTCTGGGTGGAAAAGACCTTAGAGGTAATGAAGTCCTAAAACGATGGGCAGATTTAGGACAGGGACAGAGAAGAACCAGGAATGTGCCCCAAGATTACCAGGCAGTGGTGCATAGTGTGAAATGGAGGGATGAACCATAGCGAGGTGTCCACTGAATCTATGCAAGTGCAGTGAGTGCTCTTGAATCAAGGGCTAAGTGGTCAGTTGATGCTTATCACAATCTCTGAGCTTCAGTTTTGCCACTTAGGCCAATTCAGACCAAAGTGACCTTGCAGAGTTGTCAAATCAAACAAGCTAAGGGACATGTAAGTCATTTGCAAATTGTTAAGCACTTGGACAAACAGAACGAAATACTCTTATTACTACTCAGTAAAGCCAAAAAGCATTATTTTACTAAACTAAATAAGGGATGTTTATTTTTATAGGATCTTCCTCTCAAAATGATACTGACGTGGTTGCATAAACCAATTTCATGTTGGTCAATGTTCCAATTACATATACACTTTTTCTTGCTTTTCACATACTGGAGGCAGAATCATCAGGGAATTTTAAAGAACGGTTATCAAGGTACACCGTAAGGATATTACAGTCAACATATTAGCCATACGTCAAATCACCTTGGCTTGCAATTGTACACCAATATTTTTAATTCCCAGGATGATCCTGAACAATCACTTATGATGATTCTGAGTCACTTTCCCAGGTGAAAATAGAATGCAAATTTTCTTGCCTGGAGTATGATAATAGAATGTTCATTAATTGCCCTCCCCCCGCCCCTGCCATTCCTTTCCTAAGCTCCAATGCTATGACACCAAATATCAGATCTGTCTAAAACACACATCTGATAATGCCCCTCCCTTGCTCAAGAATATTGTGTTTCTCCTTGCCTTACAGGTTTAGGTGCAAATTCCTCAAGAGAGTATTTAAGATCCTCAACAATATGGTCTTGGTTCAGCTTTTTTAAGTATGATCTATGACCCGGGTGCTCGAATACCATCTCCCAGTCAAACTGGGCTCTCCCCAAGCAAGGCACCAGCTTCCTTCCTTCACTTCATGTTTTCACCCTTTTTCCTTTATCTGGAGTATCACTCATGGTTTTAACTGTGTCAGTTTAGTTCAACTGGAATTACGTTTTCCAGAATCCCATTCCCTATATGGTTCTTAGGGGTAGCTACAGGGAATTGTACATGAGATTTGGATGGGAGAAGTGTAGCAGTGTCCATTGTTTTGCGAGGGCCTTTCTAGGCCCCTGGGTACTACTTACTGCCTCTCACATACATAATGGCCAATCGGGTGGCTGACCTGCTAAGAGGGGGCAGCCAGCTTTCAGTTCCTGACAGATCTCTTCCTTCAACCTCTCCAAGTCCGAGGCCCGGCTGGTGTGGAGCTCTGTGGCTAAGCCCGCCAGCTCCTTCTGCAGGCCACCCACATCATCGAGATTAGGTACAGTGAGAGATAATTAAGGGTTGCAGTTTGTCCTCATGGGTTCCAGGTTGCTCTCTTCCCCTTCACATCCAGCTTTTCTTCCTAACTGCCTGCCTACTACTAAAACTACTGCGGAGGTAGTTTTCCACGGACTTCTTGGCCACCACCTCCTCAGGGTCCTGAGTAAGTGACTTTTTATCTCCCACTGTCCCCTTTTGGGGCTTTATTTTTTTTTTTTATTTTTTTTTTTTAAAGATTTTATTTATTTAATTGACAGAGAGAAAGAGACAGAGAAAGAGGGAACACAAGCAGGGGGAGTGGGAGAGGGAGAAGCAGGCTTCCCGCCGAGCAGGGAGCCCGATGCGGGGCTCGATCCCAGGACCCTGGAATCATGACCTGAGCCGAAGGCAGTTGCTTAACCAACTGAGCCACCCAGGCGCCCCCCCCCCTTTTGGGGCTTTAATGGTCCAGCTTCTCCCCCAATTGTAGGTCCGATACCTATGATAAATCCCATATTCCATATCATCGACCCATTTCATTCATGCTCCTTGGTTGGACCCTAACTCATACACTGCTCTTCCCCTCTAGTCTATGTCCAAAACCTGCCCATCAATTCAAGACTCACATCCTCAGTTCCTCATAAACCCCTTCCTGAGTGACACAGCTATCTCTTTAAAACACAAACATGTTTTTCCATATATCTTTTAAAGTTATGTTATCCACTCTTACACTCTTCCAAATACTATAAAAGTTGATTGCAAACCCCTGTGATTATCTTACCTTTC